TAATTAAGCCAGTCCATTTTAGGAAAATTGAAGTCACCGACAATAACAAATTGAGATACAGAGTGGCATTATATATAAATGCAGTCATAAGTTCGATATAAGCCACATCGGTAATGGAGTAAAAATGTCGGCGATAGCATGTGATTAAACGGAGATTATGCGAATTAAAAATTAAGTCTATACAGACGATGTTAATATTCGTATCCGTTTGGGTTATTTGTACTTGCTCCGATTTAAAGTAATTTCTATAAAAAATAGCTACTCCCCCTCCAATTTTAATACGATCCTTACGATTGATTTTTCAATACAAATTATAGAGAATCGAAAGCGATAAAATGTTTCCGTGCCATTTATAGAATTTCAATGATATAAAAATATTTCGATACAAATTAGAGAGTTTCAAAAGTCAAAAATTGTTTCGGTAAATTTTCGATAATGTAAATATATTTCAATAAATTTTAAAAGTTTCGAAGGCGAAAAATATTTCGGAGCTATTTTTAGGATTTCGACACTTAAAAAATGTATTGATAGAATATCATAAATTTCGTAAAGCAAAATTCATTTCGGTTCAAAATTTAGTAATAAAAATTGTTTCAAACTTACCGAATCTAAAACAGAGTTTGGAAAAGTTTTTTTTAATCGAAAACTCAACTTTTGCAAAAGTGAAGAACCCTAGTGATGACCTTGTCAATGTAGAAATCAAAGCTTGCAAAATATCTAAATCTTGTTGAATCGAAGCAAAAGATAAGTTGTGGGACAGGCCATTGATAAAATTTTCTCGAAATTTCATTTGTCAGAAAAAAAATCACATGATCCTTAACACTTGAAAAAAAAAAATCATCAAAGAAAGAACAAAAAGTAACAAAAACGTTATTGAGTGATGCCGAATTTATAGTAAATGTTTGTTATAAACAACATTTTTTATATTAAATTAACCTGTAATTTTTATTAATATCTAATTACAGATATTATCAAAATTATTATCATTATTGCGCAAATATCAGCAAATAACTCATTTTTGTTTTAATTGAAAAGAATTATTCTGTATTTCTTAATCACAATAAAATTTTCTTTTATACAACCTCGTTCTTAAGATAAGAAAAAAATATTTTTAATCTTTTCTATACAAATTATTCTCAATAAGGTTATTTTTTTAAATTTACCTTACAATTAATTTTCTAGTATAGCTCCTTAAGTACTTGCAAATCGTTATAAAACAACTTGACTTTTTTCTCAGCAGCGTTGTTAGTTATTTTTAAAGTTTTAATAAATTGTTTCATTTAACAATTAATTAGTGTTATCATATTATTCCAAAGGACTTTGAGCCAATTTCTCATCAATATTAAGTTATAAAAAACCATACATTTTCATTATAAGAACAAATTTTTGAATTTTTTTTTTAATGGAAAAGTTGGTTTTCCATAATTGATATTATGATTTCATGAGCGCAGTGGTAGCGCACTTGCCTTAGAAACAAAGGATCCGCGGTTCAAACCCCACCTCTGGGCAAGTTTTGCAACATCAGTTAGGAAGGAGTCGTGAACTTCCAATTAAATGCTCATCCGCGGTGCTCTGTGTCTTGGGGCACCTAAATAATTTTTTTTTTTAAAATGTGGTTTTCTATAATCTAACCATTGTAGAGAAAGTTTATCTGAAAATTAACTAAACACAGACACCTGTTTAGTTAGATACCAAAGGTGTTTATTTACAACGTATTTGTCATTTTCAGCAGTAATACAAAAGTTTGGTATCTCTTTTATAATTTTAAGGTTATTGAGAGTTAAATAATAATCATTAACAAGGGCATCACAAGCTTATTATTTGGTAAGCGTGATGCTTATAGTGTTCGACTTTAATTAAGTTATTGTTCGACTTCAACTTAAGTTACTAAGTTTTATTTATTTATTTAAGAACGCCGTTTTAAGATCTAGATATCAATTGAATGTTTTTTGAGAGGAATTTTTGTACAAGATTATTAAAAATAAATGTAAAACTCTTACTTTTAAAACTTTTTCAAGTTTATATTTAAACCATACATTGTTTCCTTATAAAATTAAACTATCGAATCGTTTTTATAAATTTGCAAACCTCAAGAAGAGTTGCCAATCTGTTTCTTACTTCTGTACAAACCATTCTACCAAAAGTTAGGGCAACAATTTTTTCTCTGTAAATTTTTAGTTTTTTTTTCTCCATTTCTTTATTTTTGAAACTCAATTATAATAAATATACGTTTCCTGTAAATTTTGTGTAGAAAGTTCAAGAACATTCTATGGCAATTACTTGGTTTCTTTTTTCTATGGCAATTACTTGGTTCTTAATTATTTTAATTGTAATTATGCTTTAAGCGGTTTTTGTAATGTTGATTTTTATGGGTAGTTCTTTTATATAAATTTATGTAAAACCTTTGCATAATTGAGTGGATTTCAGGTTAATAAATAAATTTTTAAAAGAAAAAAAATTTCCTTTGGAGCAAAAAAATTACAAACTAGCCGGGCATGGATTCAAGTATTAAATTATTGGATATGTTTAAAACGTATGATGAAACTTCGGACCCGCAAAAAAGCAGAATGTAAAACTGGAATTACTCTTGCCAATCCTTCTAAGAAAAAACTTCTTATTTAGTATACGATACGTGAATACTAGTACTAAGTTTTATGAATGCTGAAAATAAGCAAGACGATGTCGAGCGTATTTTGTTAGCAGCATTCTCTGTAGATGTTTATACGGCATATGAACTTTTTGTAAAATAAAATTTAAATGTTGGAGAGAAAGTTAATTTGTTTTTGGCCGACTTAAAACAATTGACTTGTCTCGCTAAATTGTCAGAAGAGTCTGTTCGATTGGCGTTTGTCTTTGGATTACCCGAGGATTTATCATCAAGATGTTGACCCGTTATGAACCTAATTAATGTTTTGTTACCAAAAGTAACAGCTGCTTTAAACTGTGTATGCGTAGATAATGCTGTTGGTGCTGCGTTTTGAAATCAAGCTAAAAAAGTCCCGTTGGTGTTTTACAACTGCGAAGGTTTAAAACATGTTGCAAAAAACTGTTCCCTTGCAAAGAACTTTGTTTTAAAAGAATATGCTTCGATGCTTTAAATGTAGGGGTGAAGGACGTGTGGATACAAAATACTTAAAGACGAAGGGAAACGAGTGCAAGAGCGAGGAATGTGCGCTACTTCACTCCTGGTGGAATTAGTGCACTGTCTATTATTTACTTAAAAGTTAATGATATGTTAGCTACAGCTATGTAAACACGGGATGTTCAAAGACAACCATAAATGAAAAACTTTTGTCAAGAAATCAAAATAAACCCCAGAATACTCCGAAGTTAGTAACTTTTGCCGGCTAAATTCATCAATGTAATGGATTAGTGGTTGTCACTATAGAGGTTGATGGCATCCAAATACAAGACTAGGTTATTTTTGTAGATTTTTAACCGTTTGAACTTAACGTTTTTAATGTTTTATGTTTTACTTATATATGAAAAAACAATTTATCCCTACCTGTTTTTAACGACATTTTTACATTAAAACTTACTAATAAAAACTCTTATAAGTTAATATGGTGCTTCGAATGAGTTCCATTATATTGCCAGGAGGAGTTTTTATTTCCCCATCTGGAATGGCAAAGTTTGGGTTAAGCTCGTGTGGAATGGCAGTCTCAAAAAAAGATAAAGTCAATAAAATTGAAATTAAAAAACAGGATCATGAAGCAATATTGAATGATGTCGAATAGGAAGTTAAACAGAAATGAAGAGATCAAGAAGGCTCCGACCAATTATTTAACAAAGTTGAACAATACGCCTTTCTAAAATATGCAAAAATGTAGAATATGAAAATAAAATACGGAATTGGATTAATTGTTAATGGTTAATTGAATATGACAAAAATAATATAAGACCACCCAAGGGCAATTCCCTTAATGACTGTTATCTAAAGAAATAAAAATAATAAAGTCAAACCCGTTTTGGACTGAAAATAAGCTAACAGGGCTTTTTTTCTTTACTGAATTAACATTTGCGCAACAACATCCAAAATTTTTAGAAATCTTTAGAAAGATGTAGCTACATCCGGAAGTTTTTCTTGATGTGTATCTACATTCGCCTAAAATAATGCATTATTAAATAAAATAAATTTTCAGACGTAGTTACATCCGAAAAAAAATCAGATGCGTAACTACATCTGGTTAAAATAATGCATTATTAGAAAAAAAATTTCGGATAAAATTATATTTATAAGTTACATATCAAATTATTATATTATATAAGTGCTGCTACAAATAGCCTGACTCGCAACGGAGTGCTGCTACATCGAATGACAAATAGCCTGACTCGCAACGGAGTGCTGCTACATTGACTGAGGGTTAGGTTTGGGCAGGCAGTCTATCAAATAATTAAAAAAAAAAAAAAAAAAAAATTATTATGCTTAAAATAATGCATTACAATAACTTTTTTTTGGCGGATATAGTTACATTCGAAAAAATCAGATGCGTAACTACTGGTTAAAATTATGGATTTAAAAAAAAAAAATTCGGATGTAGTTACATCCAAAATATCTACAGATGTAGTTGCACGGATGTTATTAAAAATCAATGAAATTTGGGATGTTGTTGCACGGATGTTATTATACATCGATGAAATTTCGGATTTTCGGATGTTGTTTCGCGGATGTTATTATACATCGCAAAAACGGATGTTATTGCCCTGACCCGCTTTTTACAGTTATAATAAAAAAACTCAACCAAAAACCTATTTAAAAAAAAATATCTAAGGAGGCTTTCTAAAATTTGTATGATCTGCTTCACAATATCTTACCATAAAATTGTCCATAACAACTGTCTAAATAAGACGTTAAATTTTACCCATTAATTATAAAATAATTCATCTTTTTTTGAAAATTTCAAAAATTCCTGGAAAGTTTCCGAGGCGTTAAAAATTTTCCGGGAAATTTTCAACACGTTTGAAAAACTAAAGGTTGCATTTCTGACTTTCGATTTCAAAATATTGGTCCACAACAGTCCGAAAAAACAACAAACTTTACATGGTTTTATTATAAAATTAGCTTAAATTTTTTCTTTGAAAACCACATTTTGACTTTCTGAGGACGCTGATTGACACAATCCCAAGTTAAAAACATTATTGATGATTTCAAAAATAGTAAGAATAATGATTCTAATAATAGATAACTGATTTCTCATGACTGCATATATATATATATATATATATATATATATATATATATATATATATATATATATATATATATATATATATATATATATATATATATATATATATATATATATATATATATATATATATATATATATATATATATATATATATATATATATATATTCTATTTTTCTAACCTTAGAAAGCTAATTTAAGTTTATGATTTAAAATCTAAAATGTTATTTAGACTTCTTATGAAAATTGTTTTATAGATAAAAATTTAGGTATAATTCTATATAAAAAATACTGAAGAACATGCAATAAAGCTATATTTAATTAAAGCAAAACATAAGTACTCTATAGAAATGTGTTTTTATTTTCCTAGTGTTAGATATGTTACAATGTAAAAATCTGTTACTTAAAACGTAATAACTTTTTTTAATAGAGTACAATTTTCATATTTTTTTCACTTTTAAAGTATTGTACTAGAGGTCTTTCCAATGATATATAACAATCTTGTAATTAATTGATTTAAAAATTTCATGCAACTTACATGAAATTTTTAAATTAATTAATTACTAGATTGTTATATATCATTGAAAATAACTCTAGTACAGTATTTTAAAGGTAAAAAAAAATTATGAAAATTAAACACTTCTACAAAAAGTTATTATGTTTTAAGTAACAGATTTTTGATATATGGATTTGTTAAAGAAACTGTGGTCAAAATTAAGTTTTTCTTAATGTAAATTGTTATAACTTTGTCAATTTTTATCAAAACGTCTATAAATTGGTATCAAAAGAAAGGTGTAAGAGTGGGCTCCAAATTTATAATAGTTACAAGCAATAAGGCGTAATCAGGAGGCTAGTGGGGACACCAAAGCACCATCTATACCATTAAAAAGTTGATTGTTTCAAATAAAACAAGCTTATTTTATTAAAATTTATAATTTTTTATTTACAAAAAGCTGTTATAATTTGCTTCCAGACCACTATCAAATATGAGAAGTGTATTTATAAATTAAGGGTTGACAGTGGTGTGATGGTTTAACACAGCCTATTACCGAAAATAGTTAAATAATATAAATATTTTAATCTTTATTAAAATGAGTTAATCTAATATAAAATACAAAAATTAACTTTAAAAATTTAACTTTTTTACAACATAACTATTGGTATATACATTGATTTAGGGGGAAGGGCATTTAGTCACCCCCCACCTCTCCAATCTAAAAAAAAAATTTCGATATTTTAAATGCGATTTTAATAAACTTCAATTAATATTATTCAAAATAATAATCTAAAAAAAAAGAAAAGAAAAATATTGTTTTGAAACAAAATTAATTTGTCTTGGCTTTTAGTAAATGATTAAAAATTTAAACTTCAACAATGAAATTTAATAATAGTCATAGTTAACGATAGACATGACAAGAATGTAAGCCAGAGCTATCTATCATAAGTTTACAAGTCACACCACTTGCAGTTTTCGTCATTCCATGCCAAATGAGCATGACATGTCACTTTCTACTTTTGGTTATGTAAATTTTCACATTGTTTTGATTTTTCTTTGTTAATTAAACCTAAAAACCTTAACAAAAAAAAAAAAAGTAAAAAAATACTTTATTTAATCTTATTTAGTGAAAGAATTATTTTATGTCTTTTGTACACATTCTTTAAAAAATTACAACATTTTGTGATGTGAAAGAATATAAACTAAATTTCATTTCAATTTTATATTAAATCTTAAAAAAAACAACCATTCAATATTTAATCAAACAGTGTGTTTTTAAACAAGTCACACCACTTGCCGCACCAAATTTGCAAGTCACACCACTTGTGGCACCTAATTTGCAAGTCACACCACTTGCAGGTACCTTTTTGCAAAATCACACCACTTGCGGCACCTAATTTGCAAGTCACACCACTTGTAAGTAGTTTTTTGCAAGTCACACTACTTGCTGTACCTATTTTACAAGTCACACCACTTATGGTACATAATTTGTATATATGCAAATATTATATATTTGCAAACCATTTAGCTCTATTACAGTACAACTAAATTTCATTTCAACTACATAGTTTTTTTTTTAACATCTTCGCTTCCAGCAAGGCTGCAAGCAACCAACGGTTAGTGTTGGAAGTTACTGGAAGAGAAAAGATGAAGATTGTAGAGCAAGATAACGAAAAGATTGGGAATTATATGAGATATAAAAGATTGCAAATTATATGAATCAGGAAAGCAAGATGAAGGAAGCGAATTCCAAAGAACTGATGTTCGAGGAAAAAAACTAGACGAATAAGAGTTTTTGGAGCACTTAGGAACAGTAACAGAAAAAGGATGAGACTTATTTGAATGACAAGTAACACAAGAATGAATTTTAGTAGATGGCACAAGAGACGCTAGCTCTTTAGAACAGTGTCCATTATAGTATTTGTAGAAAAGAGAAAGAGAAGCAACATTACAATGATGTGACAGAGGTTGAAGGTTGGCTGCAAGAGCAGGTCCAACTATGTTTACAATGCGTTTTTGCACCTTGTCTAAAAGAGAAAGGGTATTATTAGAAGATCCGCCCCAGATATGGCAACAGTATTCCATACAAGGCCGGATTTGAGATTTGTAGAGATATAGAATAGAATCTAGAGTAAGAAAGTGTCGAGCTCGATAAAGAGAAGCTACTTTAGCAGATGCTAATTTTGCAACGAATTTGATAAAAGGTTTCCAAGAAAGATCAGAAGTAAGAGTTAATCCTAGAAGATGAAGGGTAGGAGACTCATCGAGTACATTACCATTCATAAAAATAGGAAGGTCTAAATTATTGCGATAACGATTGGCTGAAAAAAATTGAGTTTTATCTGAATTAAAGTTCACCAGCCACTGTTAGCCTCATGCTGTAGCAGAAGTGAGATCCTTTTCAAGCTCAGATGCCCCCTGCAAGCAATCAGAAGGAGTTGGCTTCTTATCGTGACTATATTATAAGAATAAATGGTAGTATCATCAGCAAACAATGCTACCTTAGATGTGAGAATATCTGGAAGATTGTTAATGTAAATTAAAAAGAGTACAGGGCCAAGGATTGAACCTTGAGGAACCCCTGAGGTTACAAAATAAGAAAAAGAGTGCTGTCCATTGAAGACAACTTTTATACTACGATTGGAAAGGAAGGATTCAATAATCTTAAAGATGTTTCCAGATACCCTGTAAGAAGAAAGCTTATGGAGAAGACCAGCATGCCAAACTTTATCAAACGCTTTAGAAATGTCAAGAGCAATGGCCTTAACCTCCCCACCTTTATCTAATGCGCGATAAAACCTATCGGCTATTACTGATAGCAATTCAGCTGTAGAACGAGAAGATCGAAATCCATATTGATGATCAGAAAGTAGGTTATGAGACCCGAAATAAGAGATTAAGTGTTTGTTAATTAAAGATTCAAAAACCTTGCTTATGATAGGAAGAAGACTAATGGGGTGGTAGTTAGACGAATCAGATCGCTCTCCAGAATTTTTAAAAATAGGGATAACAGATGCTGCTTTCCAGCAGGCTGGAAAATAAGACTCTGATAAGCACTTGTTAAATAGTTTTGAAAGGATAGGCAACAGCTCCGTAAAACACTTCTGCAAGGCTATAACGGGTATGTTGTCCGGGCTGCAAGCTGTGGAAAAGTCTAAGCAGGAAATCACTTTAGATACAGACGCTTGAGTGATACGGATGTTGAGCAATGGATCAACCTGTTTGATGGCTATATCAGGTAGAATGCAACTAGTGGAATCAAGAGATGATATTAATGAAAATTTCTTGGCAAACATTTCAGCTTTGTCTTTAGGTGAGGTGACAAAGTCTGAACCATACAAAAGAGGTGGAATTACAGGCTTGCCCTTATTATTGATACTATTAAAGGTTCTCCAGAAGTCAGGAGAGCCTAATTTTTGTGATGAAATACGAGATTTCATGATCTAAGAATAACGGGCTTTGGTGTTAGACAAAACTTTTTTACAATGGTTCCTAGCAGTAATAAACAGACGTCTGTTTTCTGGAGAAATGTTTTGCTGATCGATATGGAAGTAATGGTTTCGATTGGCAATTGCAGCAGCACAATGTGAGGAAAACCATGGAGAAGAGTGAGGCTTGACCTGAAAAACCACGATCAGAAGCACCTAAGGGTGAGTGTGGAGAAACTGAGCACTGACTAGGATCAGAAACAAGACATAAGTCGAGTAGAGAAGGTAAATGATTCGGGTTGTCTGGAAAGCGAGTTAGAAAGTTGACTATTTGAGTTAGGGATTGAGAAAAGCAAAAGTTGTGGGCCTCAATGCCTGCAGAGTCACTGACACTAGAGCCAAGCCATTCCGTGCGATGAACATTAAAGTCACCGACAACAACAATATTGGCTGATGGATAAAGAATGAGGGCTTGGTCAATATAATCAGAAATAACATCAAGAAGAGTGCAGTCTTGAGATGAAGGAGAGCGGTATAGAACAAAGAGAAAGGTGATAGAGTGAAGTGGTACTAAACCAAAGCACATAAAAGAGTAGTCTGTGGATTCAAACCTAGTTTCCCAATAAATGGGAGAGTTCTTATGAATGTAAATGCCCAGGCTAAGCATGTGACTATTGGAGTCTTTATGAATTAAAGGAAGATAACCATCAACACTAAAATCACAAGATGAGACAGCTGAACTCAAATTAGTCTCACAAGTAGCAAGTAAGTCTGATGAACATTGCAAGAGATAATACTCAACAGAAGAAAAGTTACTTTGACCGCAAATATTGGTGAATGATAGACCATCTCTAGCCTTTACTCAACCAAGAGCCCCAAGGCAGGGGTTGTTTTATGTTGGAGTTTGCATCTCCTAGCCTTTGCCTAAAAAGACATATTCTACAAGGCAGCAGGACATGAAGCAGATAAATGATCAAACTACGATATTTGTCAAAAGAAAGTAAGTGAAAATCTGAATAAACTGAAGCCAAATGATCAATTGA